CGAATAAGCTTTCTAATGTAAGAAATGAAGAAGAAAAAGGCAAACAATAAAAAGAAAAATGGAAAAGGACTTGTCGTTATCCGCAGATCTTAATTTTTCTACCCGTATATTAGCAATTAAGTAACTCTCTCTTTCTTTCCATCTCTCTCTCTCTCTCTATCTTTTTCCCTCTCTCTCTCTCTCTCTCTCGCTTTTTCTCTCTCGATCTTTCTCTCTCGTTTTCTCTCTCTCTCTCTCTCTCTTTCTCTCTCTCGATCTTTCTCTCTCGTTTTCTCTCTCTCTCTCTCTCTCTCTTTCTCTCTCGATCTTTCTCTCTCGTTTTCTTTCTTTCTCTCTCTCTCTCTCTCTCTCTCTCTCTTTCTCTCTCGCTTTCCTTCTCACTTTTTCTCTTTCGATCATTCTCTCTCTCCCTCTCTCTCTCTCGTTCTTTCTATAAATGGACCACGGCAAATGTCGTAGGATATATTCTTACTTCGTAGAAACTAACGCGGAAATCATTCCTAACCAATCGTGAAATTTAGCGTCGATAATGGCTTTAACTCTAACGTCCAATGAAAAAGGTTTTACTATAGAAAGAAAATCTATATTTCACAATATAGACTGCTCCACAGCATTTCCCTTTTTTATTCTCCTATCCTACTCTCTACACCTCACACCACACCTGTCCCCATCCCGATTCTCCCCATTTCAAGATAACAGATTTTTCTATTGCATATACGTGAACGAGACATGATAAATATCGACTTCTAGTGGTATCGTTATTTGTCGTATTATTTTCTCTCACCCACAATATTCTCGCTCTCGTTTATTATAAAATAAAAAATTAAAGAAATATGATTCTCGTAGAGATATATATATATATATATATATATATATATATCATATATACATATAAATATATATATATATACTATATATATATGATATACATATATATATATGATATATATATGATATATATATATATATATATACACTATCTATATAAAGAGAGAGAGAGAGAGAGAGGGGGAGAAACAAAAAAAGAGAGGGAGAAAATAAAAAAAAATAAGTATCAAATGGAAGATCAAATGGATTAGGATTATCTAAAAATTCTTATTCGGTATATTTCTTGTATTATATATCTTCTTATATATTGTATATATCTTCTCTCTCTCTCTCTTTCTCACTCTCTCTCTCTCTCTCTCTCTCTGTCTCTCTCTGTCTCTCTCTCTCTTTTATATCCTCATAGCATTTTGCTCTTTATGATATTAGAAAATAATTTAAATAAAAAAAGAAAAATAAATAATGTAACAATGGTAATTACATTTTTTTCTTTACATTTCTTTCCTTTTTTCTTTTTTCTTCTCATTTTTCTTTTTCTTTTTTTTTTTTTTTTTTTTTTGAAAACGATTCATTTTGAGAAGAAAAATTTCAGACTATCGTTCGATGTTCAGAAAAAAGAAAAAAAGAGTTACTATAATATTTGAAATTAAATCTAATAATATCTGGTATCTACTTTGCGATGTTAGAGAAATTTTTCTAAAATAGAAAAAAAAGAAAAAAGAAGAAAAAGAAAAAGAAAAAGAAAAAAAGAAAAGAAAAGCATAGAATGAAATTAACTTTGAAAATAATTATTATGTTCGAGATGAAAATGAAAATGTTCCAAAACATTTTAAGTACAAACTCGATAATATTTTATTACGAATCACATGAGATTCTCTAATTTATGCTTTTTTTGATATTACTCTGATGCTTCGAAGAAGAATCTCCTAAGGTAAACATTTGCGACGTTTTCTGTACGTACCTTTTACCCCTTTCCCTCTTTCTCTCTCTCTCTCTCTTTCTCTTTCTCTCTTTTTCCTCTTTATTCTCACTCGAATCCATATGGCTCGTCTCTGAAAACAAACGCTCGAGGGTCTCCCCCATAGAAAAAGCCGAGACCAACAGAAAGGATCTACGAAAGCGTAGCTTTGCTTCTTTTCGTTTCTTTCTCATCCTTCTCATCCGCGTTCTCCTAGCCACCCACATCTTCCATCTTTTTCTTAACCCATGCACTACTAAAAGAGCTACCACATCATGGAGAAGAGAACCGCTACGTGATTTTAACTTGAAGGATCGCCGTCCAACGTCGAAAGCTCGGCTTTCATCCGTGGTTAACCCACGTTAAAGCGTTTCACGTATATTCCTGGCTGAACTATCGATCGTGTCATAGACGTTATGCCATTCCGCAGCATCCGCAATTCGAATGGATGGACGATATCTACAAAAGAATGAACAGATATAAAGAGAATGAGATAGATAGATATAAAATTGAAAAAGCAACTGAAAAAAAATATATGTGAATTCAAATATTATTCATAAAATAATTATCACGTATTATAAACATTATTTATTTCGTATATAATAAATGTATATACAATATATATTGTTTGTAATATTGTATTGTTGTTTAATATATGTATGTGTATATTGTATATAATATAATTATTTTTATATTTTTATTATTTAATTTTATATTTTTATATTTTTATTTATTACAATTTAAATTATAATTTAATAATTTATCATGATTTAAAATAAATTAAAATATAATAAAATATTTTATTATATTTTTATTTATTAAATCAGTTTTATTATTGTTAACCTCTTTTAATTTCTTTCAATTAAATATGAACGAAAAAAAAATCAAGATTTACTTTATTCCCATTATGTGATTAATTTTAACTTGATTCTCATAATGTATGACTTTAATATATTTGCATAAAATTAACCGCCGCATTTATAAAATTCAATTAAGTGTTATTAACGATCTCGTTCGTTTAATTAAATTAGAACATAAAAAATTTTAATTAATACGAGAAAGAAATAAATATTTACTTTATACTCATTAACGTGATTAATTTTAACACAATTCTTATAATATATGTGATAAAAGTTGAAATATATGCATAAATTATAGAAGTCATTTTATTTTTACTATTATTATTATTATTATTATTATTATTATTATTATTATTATTATTATTATTATTATTATTATTATTATTATTATTATTATTATTATTAAGAATGTCATTAGTTCAATTAATTTCAAACAAAAAAAAATCGAAATTAATTTTATTCTAATTATGTGATTAACTTCAACTTGATTCTTACTGATACATATCGTGTTAGAATATTTTCATAAATCTAACCATCCACCTTGAAAAAATTCACCATTGTTATCATTAACGAATTTCATTCATAGAAATTAAATTTAAATTCTATTTTCGAATTTAATTCGAAAATGAGAAGAAAAAAATGAAAAAAAAAGAAAAAAGAAAAAAAAAAGGAAAATTTAATTTGCTCTCCAATTATGTGATTAAACTTCAATTCGATTCTCATAATAATATGCGAAATTAAAATAAACGAAGTAATCATAGAAAATATTTTCATGTTGGTGTAAAACGAAAAAAAAAAAAGGACAAGAAGAAAATATTCCGAAAAATGAATGATAAATTATGCGATCTAGATAATGCAATGGCAGGAAGCAGATATTAAAGAGTAGAATGGATTATTAACGGAAAAGCCACGCCGAATGAAAACAAACATTAGAGTAGAAGAGTTGAAAAATCAGAATCGTGTTTCCAGTCTTGGTCTATCATGCAAAGTGGATGAAAAGAGAGTCGAGGGGTTTGGTTATCCATCGCATCGAGAGAGAGAGAGAGAGAGAGAGAGAGAGAGAGAGAAAGAGAGAGAGAGGAAAAGAGAAAAGAGAAGTTAACTGTAGGGGTTCTAGCATCATTCGTTGCACAAAAGCCGTAAACTACACTGGCCGGTTATTTCGATCAATCCTCGAGAATGCGGCCGTCCGGAAAATATTCACATCGATCTACACCGACTGACCCTTCTATCTACTCCCCCACCTCTCTCTCACTCTCTCTCTCTTTCTCTGTTTCTGTTTCTGATCCCTCCGATCTTTCTTTCTCTCTCTCTCTCTTTCTCTTTCTCTATCTATATATCTCTATCTATCTATCTATCTATCTATCTATCTATCTATCTATCTATCTATCTATCTATCTATCTATCTATCTATCTATCTATCTATCTATCTATCTATCACTCTCTCTCTCTCTGTCTATCTCTCTCGTATTCATTCTCTTTTCTACTCATCGTCTTGCTCGAAACACTATAGACGAAACCTATACATAAATAACTGCGCGTAGATACAAGCGTGTACCACACGGAGAAAAGCTTTCGTTTACTTTCGCCACATTACTTTCGCCCTTACCATCCTTTAGTTTTCTTCCCCATTCACCCTTCATCTCGTCTCAACATTTATCCCTTATCCTGAGCCAAGCATGTGATACCAGATACATACACTTTATATGATCCACCTTAAAGTGCTCTTTTTTTTCTTAATGGTAGTAGAGACGACGAGGGTCAGCCGAAGCTCAGCATCGGTCTCTTTAGGTCTTTACAAAAGAATGTTGGAAAACGAATTTTTAAGATCACTTGTGTTACTATAAATATCATGTAATAACAAAAGTATTTCTGTCATATATGTACATACATACAATATTTATATACACATAAACATATTTATCTTTGATTTCTTTCTCTTTTTCTTCTTTTCTTTTTTTCTTCGAGTAATCATAAAAATTTTAATTATTTTATTATATTTATTTATATCGTAAAAATTTTTTTTCTATGATTTTATTGTAATTATTTATATCGTAAAAATATTAATTATATATATATATATATATATATATATATATATATTTCTCAACTAAATTTTATATTGATTTTTACAAATCTGCGATATCTTATATAGATAGGTTGTATACATATGTATAATAAAAAAAAAAAAAGAAACCAATGTAGAAACAAAATCATTTTTCCATTGATTTTCTATTAATAAAACAAAATGTTATATTAAAGATTTGATCCATAACTGATACTTCAATAAATGGATTATTTGATTCTTATCGATCTTATAATTATTTATAATCCAATTAATAAATTCATGTTTTCAGAACCGAAAACCGAAATACTCGGTGCACCGGATCTTTACATCGACAGAGGCAGTACAATCAACCTCACCTGTATCATATTACAAAGTCCAGAACCCCCGGCTTATATATTCTGGAATCACAACAACGCCGTGAGTATTAAAGTTCTTTATCGTATTAACTGATATCTTTATCGTAAGACTTTAATTGATTAAATATAACGTAATAAAAAGTCTAAAAATGTTATACGATCAAATTATACGTTTGTTTACCTGCTTAGAAATAGTAACAATTAGTAGATAAGGAGCTATTAATGAAAGATTAAATTAATGATAGTAACGAAATATTACAGTAAGGACGAAGAAGCATTAAACGAGAAAACAATTCAAATGTAGACTTATATATATATATATATATATATACATATTATTTGTCATTTGAAACGTTAACCTTCTCTCTCTCTCTTTCTCTCTCTCTCTCTCTCTTTCTCTCTCTCTTTCTCTCTTTCTCTCTCTCTCTCTCACTCTCTTCATTTTCATCCAAACATTTCCTATAATTTCAATAATACTTTAAAACCATCCGAGAGATATGATGATAGTCACGGACGAACAAGCGAACGAATGAACGAAACACGATATTGAATAAAATATTAAAATATACAATACTAAACAGAATAGAGAATATGCTCTCTTTCGTTTACATTCGCCTTTAGAAATATCGTTTGCACATCGAACGTGTAGTATCAAATATCATTTGATAATCGATATTATAACAAAATATGTATATATATATACAAATGTATATATATATATTTTGTTATAATAATAGCATATCTACATATATACATTATATATAATATATATATATATAAAAAACGAGTCAATATATATATATATATATATACATATATATATATATATATTGACGCGTTAACACGCAAAGATAAATATACTGTATATCAACGTGGAATTAAAATCTCGCTGAGACTCGATACGTATTTCACGCTAGGACGACGCTCCAACCTATCCACCTATCTACCCATCGTGGCTTCGAACGTATTTCCGGATCGAATAGCTCTCTATCTTTTCCCAAGGGAGATGGTTAGAGGGTGCAAGAGAAAGTAAAAGACGGAAAGAGAGAGAGAGAGAGAGAGAGAGAGAGAGAAAGTACATTAAACCATGGAGAGATGAGATGAAAAAGACTGAAAAAAAAGAAAGGAAAAAAAGAAAAAAGAAAAGAATGGGAAAAAGGAAAAAAAACGCAGAAACAAAAGCAAATTTAGAAAAAAAATGTAAAAGAAAGAAAGAAGATTGGAAAGAAGAGAGAAGGAAGAAAGTTGAAGGATGGCAAGGGGGTAGGAATGGTGGGGTTTGCTTGGGAAAGAAAATGAAAAACAATGACTTTTCAGAGGTAGAAAATTTAATAACGATCGCTTACATCGGTGACCTTTTTATTTGAGAAATATTAGAATTAGTAACGTATTAGGTAAGAGTAGTACTCGACTATAGTTGAGCAGTTCCCGGAGAAGATAAGGGCTCCGATAACAGTCATTGGCCCACTCTAAACTACTCTCCTGTCATATAGGAATCTCGGACAGGTTGAAATGCTTCCGCCGTATGTTAGTTACCGGAACGGCATTTGCATTTGGTAACTAGGCCGCTACTGTTGAAATCCCGGCCGGCTACTCTAACTTGACTATACCTATACGTATCTACTTTCTTCTCTATAGGTTGGATAAAATCGTTCGGTAATTTTAAAATAAAGTAACTCCTTGTCATTAATAGTTACGAATGATCTCATAACGGTCTGATTAATTACTAAAGGGTTTTAATGTAATCCGTTTCGAACTGAAATCTCGTATTTCATCTTTTATTTCACTCACTCTCTTTATCTATCTATATATATATATATATACATACATATATATATATACATACATATATATATACATACATATATATATACATACATATATATATACATATATATATATATCCCTCCCTGCTTCCTATCTTTCTCTCTCTCTCTTTCTCTCTTTCTCTCTCTCTCTTTCTCTCTCTCTGTTTCTCTCTCTCTCTCTTTTTTTCTCTCTCTCTCTCTCTTTTTCTCTCTATCTATCTATCTATCTATCTATCTATCTAATACTCATAATTACTCTTCTTTATTATCAGCCACTCGTTCTATGTTTGATCGAAACTTTAATAATACCTCTAAAAGCATAAAAATTTCTAACAAATACGACTTGTTCTCTGTGCTGTCATTAATAACATAATACAATGATTTAACGAAAGTTCTATTCGATATTCTTTTATCATATATCAGTACTTTGTCTTGTCTAATTCATTAAACGATATTTTTAATATTTCACGTTAATATGATTCTTCTATAAATTAATATATATATATATATTAATCTATAGAAGAATATATATATTAATATATATATATATATATATATATATATATATTAATCTATAGAAGAATATATATATTAATATATATATATATATATACATCATAAATATTTGATATATGAATATAATAAATATAATAATATTAAATGAATAAATATAATAAATAAATATAATTAAAAATATAACAAATAATAAACAAATATTTGATATATAAATAGTAAATATAAATATAGAAAAATATAATACACATATATCTATTGCAAGATAGATGAGAACTTTTCTAAGGTAGAAAAAAATTATTTAAAATTGAATATTTTAAATAATTAAATTATATAAAAAATTAAATTATATAAAATTGAACTCCTGTCCTTGATAAAAAAAATAAACATTCTTATATTAAATTATAATATCGTGTATTAGTAAACAAAAATAAATAAAAGAAAATTTTATAGAATAGCTTACAGTATATACCTACCATTTATGATAATATATATATATGTATATTAAATATTATTATTCATGTACGGCAATAAAGTACGCCAAAAGATTTAAGATGATTTTAAAGATTCAATTACTCTTTTTCGTAATTCTTTAGACAAAATTTTCTTTTTCTTTTTTTCTTTTTTCTTTCTTTCTAATTGTAAAACTACAACAGACCAGCTTGTAAAACTAATCTCTAAATTCCAATCTCCGATAAGTTTCAAAAAAAGGATAATCGATTTTTTTTTTTTTATCACCAGAAAGATGATCATAAGAAAGATATCACCATCTAGGAACTTTCTGAGCGCCAATCCCCTTTTTTCCTTTTCTCTTTTTATTTCTTTTTCTTTACGTTCCATTATATATGAATATAATTAGAATTATCATTGAAAGAAAAATGATCGAAAATTTCTAGTAAAATCACGGATTGCCCTTCAGGCGACGTAATCGTGGTAAGACGGCAATGGCGATGGCGGCGATGGCGGTGGCATTGGCGGCGGCGCGACGCCACGAAGTCGGTTTAAGGACCAAAGGAGAAAGAGAGATGGAAGTGAAAGAGGATAGGATATCGTAGAGAAACGGGCGATAAGGAGTAAACTCGAATCGTCTCTGGGGAACCTTACGAAATTGCAATCGCCAGCGATATGATAAGGTCGCACTCGATCGATCGACCATACCTACCGCGAAATATTTTCTAGCCGCAAGGAATTCTCTCAACCGTTAAAGAGAGAGAAAAAGAGAGAGAGAGAAAGAGAGTGAGAGAGAGAGAGAGGAAGAGAGAGAAGGGGATGATTCCTCCCTTACGCTCCAATAAACCTCTATCCCTTTGATTTCGATTGAATTTCGATCGCCGATCTACTCTCTTCCTCTATCGCATACGTTTATTTCACCTATACTCGGATGGAAAAAAAGGACACAACATGATTTAAGAATATTTCGAAAAGTGCCATGGTATATTATATGCATACGTATGTATCATAAAACATGTCTATATATATGTATATATATAAAATATTGTTTTCTACACCTATATAAATATAAAAAAAAAATATATATATATATATGTATGTGAGTATATTCTAAAGATATATGTAAAAATATTTTTTTTTACATAGATCGAAACTAGACATTTGATTTTTGAAGACTTTATAGAACTTTATTATTATAATATTTTTTTCATTTAATGATTTTTATTATACTAACGTTGTATCTCATATTTAAAGACGTTAAACAATCGACACCATAAAATATATCTATGTATATATGTATATGTGTATATAAATGTCGTTTCCTTTTTTTTTTTTTTTTTACATAGACTGAACTTTGTCCCAGTCTTTGCAAATTTCTTCTTTTTCTTTCTTTATGTTCTTTTTCTTTTAATTTAACATTTAAAAATTTTTATTATGTCAACGTAGTATCTCTCATTTTGGTATATGTTAATAGACAATCGTTCCACGACAACTTCTCTGACGAGAGAATATTTTTACACCGTTATCGCTTGCTCGTTTGGATAATATCAAAGTTTCTTCAAAGTTTCGAATCTTCTCCACCTAGACAAAACAGAAACTAGAACAGCAACATGTATACTCACTTTAATGGTGTTCCTAATAGGAAGACAGTGACAATGACCGATCCACCTCTTGGGTGAGAAACACTCTCACTCCTTATCGCATTCGACCTTAACCACTTACAATTGTATCATGATTATACTCTATCACCTAATCCTGTCTATTAGTATACAAAGACATTATATTTCGTCAATTAAATGACTACGATCTTAACATCTACGATATTTAACATCTCCTTATATATATGTAAAACTTTATAACGAGAACTAGCTTCAAAATGTGTTTACAATGTTGATATGTATATACGTTTGCGTGTGTATGTATGTGTATATATATATATATATATATATATATATATATATATATGTATATACAGTACCGAACAAATGTATCCGAACAAATGATTTTTCTGAATTTTTATGGATAATTCAATGTATTAATATTAAACTAATAGATGGATTTATAGAGGAAAGGGCGACAAATCATTCATATTAATAGACTTCGTAAATTTTAACATAATACATATATCTTTCAAAAATAAATAAAAATTTAATTGACAAATGTATCCGGATAAAACTTAAATATTAAAGAAATTATAAAAATCGACATAAAATAATATCGACATAAAACAATAAAATACTTTAATATTTGATAGAAAATCCTTTGAAATCTATAACGACCTGCATTCTTT